GCTAGAGAAGATATGCATCACTGAATACTATTTCCGGGCGCAGTTCGGCGACGGGGGAGGTGATTTTGCGTGTTCTCATCGACGTGTAGAGCCATAAAATCGGGATCTGGGAAATTTTGTAGCTCGAAATGGTACTAGACAAAGTTTGAGGTTCACCTGTCAATCTTTGGAAGCGATGAAAACCATAAATATCATTTACCATGGTGGCTCGACGAGCTTGCTCCGGTTCCACAAGAAATTCGCAGTTTTTACGATAGGGAGACTTATAAACCGGAACTTGTGAAGCAGCAAAAGTGCAGAGCGCTCTCACACCTCTCCGTCACCAAGAGCGCCGATTTCCACGTTTTTCGCACGTCAAAGGACTATTGTAGGGGTAATAACACGGGACATTTCAATCGCAATATTCCTTGGAGAGATGTAGCACTGAATGTGATTCGTAATTCTGCATTCAAGATGTCTTCAGCTAGGTTCTCTGGATTGCATTCATGTGGCATTACTCGCTCAGGGTTGCTTGTTTCTTGGAGTGTTAGGCATCCTTTCACGGGTGAGGGTTTCATCTTTCTCACATCTCGTCTATGAATCTGTCTTCTAATCAGCACCGCTTTCTTTTTACCTCTTGCACATTGGCTAACCCTGCGGCAGTGTTCAGACTTCGCGATGATGCGATACGACGCGTCGCCATTGCATTGGTGCTGTAACGCTATAGGCGGTAACGCAGCAATAGACGGGTATCCGTTTGGACCGGCGCTTTGAGAGAGTGTAGGAATAAAAGCGTAAGTGTTGCCTTATCACGCCGTCTGAACTCCATCGGAACCGTCCGCTAGTGAGTACAGAAGAAGTAGAAGAATTGGGTGAAGAGAGAATAGGAGGATACATGACTATGCAGCGTACCCTGCCATTCTTCTATATTCTCCCAAAGCAATCTTTATAGACGCCAGTCCGTCCTTGTTTGCGTCCCGGCACCATTGCAATGGTATTGCATGTACTTGCGTAATCGCGAAGTCTGAACATGCATATCTTTCGAATAAATGGTTTTCTGTCTGTCGATTTGGCCTAGATCAGCTTTAAGCTTGCTCTTTCATACGCAGACGTAGTGTAACCACAATTCATTATAGAGTTGTTTCTCGTTGACCGATATTACCCGTTCTTGTTCGCTTATGAACCTCGTTTCCCCCTCAGCGTCAGATGTCGCCGTCACTGCTTACTGCCTTTGATGTCATTTGTTGATGTCATCGTTTTTTTTTCTTGATATTACGCCCAAAGCTGTGTCACCAAACGTCACGTTCTAAATCGAAGGCGGTTAGTTATAATTGCTTGATGTCATTTTTCCCAACATTCCATATCAGGTGTGATGGCGTCGCTTATGTTAGCGCGCTCAATCTGTAGGGGTAAAATCTCATACCGGATCATTCCAGGCTCAAATAAGCTTCCCATTCCTCGCGGGTTCGCCTCGGTCCAAACAACGGTGAGTGGAACAACCGCACCACATGGTAGCAGATAAAAATAAAAATTGAGCATTGCCGTGGCCGGCGGGCGGGCTGTGGCCTCCTCGCGAATGGGTCGCGCTTCCCTCACGTATTTTGAGCTGCAAGAGTAGGACCAGGAATAGCACGTCATGCTTGTGGACAAGACTGTCATTTCAAAGGAGGAGTGTGCCCGTCAAATCAACTCGATGCATTTAATTGAAGGCACCTGTGTGGAGGACAAAAACAAAGCGTGTGTACATCGAGGGGGGGCCCCCTCCCTTCCCAGCTATGAAGCACTGTTTGCATTTCAAATGCTCATAGTGCAAGCTTACCATGTTTTTAATTATTAATTGATATTAGGCCTCAGTTGTTATTCGTGTGATCAGGGAGCAGTACTTACCAATGCAATACCAAGTGCAAACCAAGCTTCAGGTCCCATATCTTCCCTGCTTACCAGTAAAATAAGAAAATATTTTAATTTGCTGGACTTTGATATGGATAAGCGCACTCAGGTGTACACAACCCCTATAATTCACTCTATAGGCCAGACCATTTTCAAATGCCAGTACGATTCTGAATGGAAGTCGAATGTGGCGCTCCTTGAAGGAATTGATCAACGCCGTAGGCCTTTCCTTGTTATGTCGTCGTCGTTTTGTATCGCCGTTGTCACTGTGGCTGCCTGCTATTTATTGTTGCACTAAGCATGAGAAATAGTGGCAGCTTCTTCTTTCCTATATTTCACTTTTCAATCTAGTTGTGTCTTCTTGTGTTTTCCTGCATGTGGTTTCTGTGTGCCAAATGGGAAACGGCGCTGTGTGCCTTGGAGGGGGGGGGGCGAAGCCACGTCATGCTTGATTGTTTGCGCCTCTCGTCTAAATAACAATATGTGACGTTGTCGAGTCAGAACATGACGCGGCAAAGCCTCGTTGTAAAGTGACCCTCTTCAGGCACATATCACCGAGAAAACAAAAGATTTCATGCGAAGTCGCGCTCAATTTCTTTTCTCACAGGCCGGCGCTATATCTAAGGCTGCGTTCATACTTTACGGCGGCGTCCACCAGCGTTCCGAGCGTCTGTAGGCGCCAGAGACTAGGAAAGTACCGATCGACCACCAGCGTCCTTCAGCGGCTAGAAAAGTAAGGACATCAATCTAGCGAATGCCAGCGTCTATCAGCGTTTCCCACTGTTCACCAGCGTCTAGGAATGGAGAGTATAGGGAAGTAGAAGGGAAGCAGACTGCTAGTGGAGTATGGGGAATTAGGTGGGAGTAGACAGCTGGATTGGCGTCGTGAAATGCGGCGTGTGCAACCGCACCGTACTCTACACAATACCGTACCTTAAATCGATCTATGCTTTAGCAGCTGTACGGTGCGGTTGCACAGGTGGCAATTTCAGACTTCTGATTCAGCTGTCTGTTCCCTTCTACTTCCACCATACTCTCCATTTCTAGACGCTGGTGGGAGGCTGCAGTTTGCTATATCGATATCTATACTTTCCTTAGTCGCTGGCGCTGACGGACGTTCGAGATGCTGTTGGTCGCTGGTGTCTGCCGCGAAGTATGAATGCAGCGTTACACTGTTAGCCAAAGCGTTATTATTCTCCGCCCAACTCAGTTTTGCTCCCAAGACCTTTTTGAAATGCAGTATTCTGTGGTTTCGATGTTTGCACTATCAGTGAGTAGTGTTGAAGTCTGTGCTGCAGTCTTGCTTCTGTATCCATTCAATAATATACGTTTACTCCTTTAGAAACGATGGGAAGCGACGAAATATGCTTGTGGAGACAATGAGCTGTATGACAGCGTGGGGTGAGTTGAAACGGTTTTTTTCCATCCAGGTATAATTGATTGACTGCGTAAATTAAGATGTTCTCCATCAACCATAACAAAGCGAAAGGAGCGCAACATCGACTACATTGAAAATCCGATCTACATGTCTTTATGTTCACTGAGGAAAAAGCTCTCGTTAAAGAAGAAGAATGAGTCTGAAAACCTTGATGAGACAAAGGGTGTGTCAAAAGAACCATCTCCATCTGAGGTCGAGACTAAACCGCCGTGCTGTTTGCCTAGCGAGGAAAGCGAGAGGTTAGGTCTTCCTTGTTGACTCAGTACGCGCTCGCAATGATTCCTTTTTCATTCAGTATGGAAGAATCTAAGGATGTTGGCCAGTCATCGTCTGATCTGTCGGTTCCATCAGGTTGGTTATTTTCTTTATAAAGTTGAAAGAGCTTTTTGTATTGTCTCAGGCATGTCCAACGTTTGGGGGAAATGTTGGTGAACTACGACCTCGTTATCCCAAATTTTCCTACCCTGATTGCGGTTCCCCGTCATACCTACTATCTTCTTCAATTTTCCGAACTCTATCACTTTTCCCGAGTTTTTTTGTCAAAAATTTGATCGGAGCTCTTCACTGTTCTGCGCAAGAAAAAAACAACCGATGATACGGCGGTGACTAATGCTTGGGTGCAATTTCAGGAGTCAAATTAGTAACATCAACGTGGAAATTGTGTTGAAATATGTTTCCAAAACTAATCTTTTTCTACAAATGTCCAGTCTAAAACTTCCGAATCGCAGTTTTCGAATCTGCGCTATTAATCATTTTATGCAACCCTGACGGGTCGCGTTATCTGCGACACACTTATGAGAAGAGATAGGGAGTTCCTTTTGCCCATTAGGTGCCAGTTTCACCGTCTACGTTATTCATGCATTAAGTCTCCAACTGAGGTGGTGCCCCAGCCAATGTTTGACTCTATTTTCTGAGTGAACGGCACGCGGTATAGGGCGGACAATTGCTTTGAGCGCCACGGAAGTTTTTACTGGTTTTCCTTTTGCGTACTTTTTTTATTCTTGTAATCTATGTGAACGGTGCATATTGAACGAGAATTGTTCAATAGTCAATTGGAAGAGCTGAATCCACGAAAACGGTGCAGTTCGGACTCGGAGGAGATCATTTTGCACTGTTGTCCGGAACGAGTGAAGCAGCAAAAGTGCAAAGTGCCCCTTCTCCCGTCCTTGAACTACGCCCACGAAAAAGACTGAAAGAAGTTGTTGCTGTGTCTAGAAAATTTCTGCGCGCGTTGTCTTGTGTTCTCAAGACCAAAGTGGAACTTAGCTGAAGCAGCGAAGGTAAAAAATCACCCCTCCCCTTCGCCCGAACCGCTCACAAAACAATATTGCTGGTCTGCGGAATTGTTGCGCGCGTTGTCGGCTTGTTTCTATGCAGCAAGCAGATTAAGGGTCCTTTATACTTTTCACAGAATAGGGGCATATCAGATTATTTTTCATAGGATCTCCATATTCGTTGGTGAGTCCATTTCGGAGAGGAGAGTCATTGGCGGTGGTAGCGTCAGCAGCCGGTGGGCACTTTTCCGAACAATCTAAAAACGTCGAATTTTTTTTATTATTTTTGCCTAGTTCGAAGGATGTTCCTACCACCATTCACTTCTTAACAACCCATTTTCTCCTAAAATTGCTTTGAAGGGTGCTGCCCAAAGTTTATACGTCCAAAGGACTTCCAGGCAGTTGTTGATCTTGGCGCGTGAAATTAATTGGAGACTAGCCTGGACGTGTTTCTTCTGTCTTCTTCAATGTACTCTAATCAGGGCCAACATGGCGGGATTGCCCTTTTTATTAGTTGCAATTCTCACTCTTCCCCCTCGCACCATCTTCCACATTTTCCACTTTATAATCGTTTGAATTATTTCCATCTGGAAGAGGACCATGATTTTGTCTTCAGATTTACCGAATCTATTGTTGGAAAGCCACTTCCTGCTCCCATGGCGTTTCCTGCACGCCATACGAATAGCTTTACGAAGAGAAATATGCCTCCCCGCCCCTTGCAGGAGGTATACTAGTTCGTGCTTAGTTTTGAAAGCTCTCCATTGGAAAACGTATTCTACTGTTTGGTCTTGATTTATTGCTTTTTTTCATCGAGAGTGTATTCTGTGGTATTCTTATTTGTGTGTTTGGTCGTTATTCAGCTGCTCAGTGCGATCAGCTTGAGAAAAAGTTGTCAGAAATCGCAGAAATTTACACTTTTTGAGTTAACCTCTCTCTTTTGGGATTGGGCATAATGTCTACTTGGTTAGTGATCCAGTCCTGGGCCCTTTTTGGTTTATTCAATGGGATTGTATTTATTACATTGGATTTACAAGATCATACCAGGATGACTTTTGGTACGAGTTGCAGTGCTCGCTGGGCGGGATGATACGAGGCAGGCCAAGAGGGGAGATCAATTTAACAAGACCACAGTGGCGTTCTTCGGTGATGTTCTGCTCCAAATCGGCAAGAAGGAGCGAAAAGCTCATGCACGACTGAGGACCATGAAGATTAGTTTTCATGACGACGACAGTCTCGTGAGTTTTTCAGGGGATGTGTTTGGTTTTTCTTTTATTTCGTTTTTGTTTTTTCTTATATGTTTGCTTTGCAAAACCCTTTGAAATTAGACAAGAGTTCGTTGTGCTGGGGTCCGATTCTCGCTCCTCGGATGGTGAATTGGATCTGTAAAGAAAGAGTAACACCATTTGACCATTAGACTCAATGGAAAGGGTAAGACGACTAACAACCTGGTGGGTGGTGGTGGGGGGTGGGTGTGGAGTGATGTGTTGCCACGTGTCAGAAAATTAGGATGCTCACACGTGGGGATGTTGGCTACGTTGGCGTGTAGGGTCGAGAGGAGCGCTAGTCGTTGGCGTGTGCATACTGTTGGAGATTGGACTTCTTTCAGGTTCCCGATGTTGGGACTTGCAATATGTTTATTCATGTCAGTGTTGGCTGGTTCGGAATTTGAATGCTACGGTCAAGGTGTGGTGCAGAGAGGTGGAAAGCCCGGCGAACGTTGTTGGGCTGGTCGGTCAGAGGGGTAGGTTTTCTTTGTCTGTTCGTTGCGCCCTCCCCCCCCCGCCCCCCTCCCTTTGAATTCTATATGGTGTTCAGTTTGACAGGTGAATCTGAAGTTGGAAGCTTGAATTTTAATAGGGTCTATAGTTCAGTCACCACCGCTGATTCGTTTTAGCAGCACCTACCTGCCAGTCTATGTTTTTTATGGCGAGTTTCGACTTTTTTCGCTGTTTCATTTGACATCGGGTAAAGAGCGAAGATTTTCGCAGTGGTCGGAGGCTGGTGTTGATGAGAATGGTGTCCTTAATTGCAAAAAAGGGCTTGCTAAATTGTGGGAGGATATATCGATGGATCGTTCGCGCGTCATCGTTTACATTAGTGGAATGCTATTTTTTTTGTATTAATTTTGTTTTTTGGAAGTGGTGAATAGTATTCGGAGCGAGGGTGTTTCGTAACTTATCGAGTCTGGAGTAAGGCAATATTTGTCGGGTTACTTTACCTGCGAAAGATCGCCAACTTATTATCTTGAAACTTTGAAGGCAGACATGTTTTATGATCGATGTGAGAGTCGGTAGCGAGACGGCTGGGGGGTGGTAGATCGAGGTATAGGTCTATGAAGGTTTAGTTAGCCAGTGAAGGGTAGGGGTATTGGCAAGAGATCTGTCGGAGGCTGCGAGTTTGCTAGTCAGCAGAGCTTGGAAATTGTACTGAGCGCGTCGTAAAGGTTGTGTGGGTGTGAGATGATGCGGTAGTGTGTGGGGAGGGTGGAGGGTTTGGTGTGGCTTGAGCTGTGAAGCGGGAGTTGAGGCCTGAGAGATCGTGTCAAGTTGTCGGAGGTTCGGCTGGGACGGGGTTGCAGGTGTATTCGTTCGAAGCGGCTCGAGTCTGACGTGGAGGGCGGAGGTTTGCTGCGTGCGTAGTGGCTCAGCAGGGGTGGGTGGGGGGGGTCTGCACCAATTCAGAGCCTCTCGATGGCCACTGCTGCACGGTTGGTGAGCAAGACTGTGTGACGCTGCTTCTATGAGAGTTGCGGTGGTGAAATGCAGGGCTTGGCAGTGTTGCTGGATCGGGGTTTACTTTAGGGTAGAGAGTGAAACGCGTAAGGAGGGTGGGAGCTATCGAGGGGTCTACGCGCAGGGATATTCATAGAGGGTTGGGGCGCGGGGGGGGTTGTGAGTGGGGCGGGCCGGGGGCGTGTGTGTTGTGGTTAGGTGAGTCCGTGGGCGTGGGGGGCGGGGGGGGTTGGGGGGGGGGGGGGGGTGTTGTGTATGACAAATCTCGCAGGGTATAGTTTGTGTCGGTTCATCTTCGTGTGTGCAGATGGAGATACGGGGGGTGCGGGGGTGGTGTGGTAGTGGGGTATGAGTGGGGTTAGGGAAAAAGGAAAAAGAGAGAGTGGGGGTGGTTGGTTTTGTATAGTTTGATGTTGGGGGGCTGCGTCGAGAGTGGTGAGTGGAAGTGCGCGCGTTTCGCTCTCTCCAGATTCGGGCTTGTCCTGAGTAGGCGACTTACGACTATAAGGGCTTTGGACCGGTGACTGCGGTGGCGCGGGGAGCTAATGGGTTCGTTGGGCAGATCTTTTGCCCAGGAGATTGCGGGACATTTGCCCGCGATAGGTTGGTGCTCGGTGGGCGTAGGTAAGGAGAATGTCCTGGTGTCCTAGGGAGTATACCCGGCTGTGTGGTGGCGCGTTGGAAGAAAAGTTCTATCGCATTTCTGTGTGATGGGATTTATCAGCCAACTCTGAGCGAAGTCTATCTGGAAGGCAAATGATTGTGTGTGTGATGTCTGTGATAAGCAGAATTCGCGCGTATAACAGGAAGAGTTTATTCTCGTATTAGTCTGTTGGTATTCTTTATACCTTTTGATAGTTGAGAGGTAAGGCTTCAAGCTGGGAGGTTAGCCTACATTTAGGCTTATCGTTAGCTTATGTGATAACTTATCAACGTGCAACTATTGAAGCCCTGGGGGGACAGATCATAGTGTGCGTGATGTTGGTTGAGCGGTGTCGGTATAGGGAGGCTGTTACGGGTCGTGGCCGTATCGTTGTGAAGTGTTGGTGATCACCGCTATTAACGCCGTACTACCAAAAATAGTATATTGTTCAAATTGCGTGGCTGGCCGTAATCTGTCAGTAATAACTTACTCGTGAGGGAGCGAGATGTGCTCTTAGATATCTGGGGCTGTTATACTACTTGAGCTATACTAGAGATTCGGTTACTGAGATAGGAGCGGCTAGCTGGCGGGCGGTTAGGTCTCGTCGGGAGTGGAGGAGGAAGGAAGATATGGGACTTGACTGATGGCTTTACAGAGATAATGAATGGCTGCTTTTGAAAATTGGGGTGGGTGTGACGGTTGAACTATTTGGGTCCTAAGTGACTGGTGGTCTACTGAGTGAGTAGTCAAGACTACTGCCACGTTGCTAGACTTCAGTTACAGGTCAAGGGTAGTTTTTTTTGTGAGTAATGGGGTAGAATTTGTACCAACTTCAATTCGCTCTTACGTTCGAATGTGTTCCCTTTGAAATATGCTACTTTCAAGAGGCGGGTCGGTGATTTCATTTGAAGTGTTGTAGTTACTGTCTGCCCATATGTGAGCGGTAGACAGCAATACAATCGGTTTATCTGAGCAGCGCTGTTTTTGTTTTTGCTGTTTTTTTTTTAATATTTTGTTGTTCCCTTTGTTTCCATGGTGCTAATTGCCCACGCTCCAATAAATAGAAATGAAATTGCTGGAATGCCCAGCAATAAAGAAAATGCTTATTGCATCATTTAATCAATATGCACCCAGCAATTTTGCTCATGTCGTGTATTTGTCTAGGTGCAACAAGTGAGTGGATGTACGCAGCGGCAGGACTACATGAAAGGACTATGTTTTACGTGTTGCTCGATTCACCTGACTACATCTATGAACTGGATGTTAGAAAGGTAAGAGAAGATGGTATTGGACTGCAACTCCTCGATTGAAAGTGGAAGACTAGGGGGTCCCACGAAAAAATGATTCCACAGTAATTCACAGCAAACTGTAATTAAAATTTGTTACAATTTCTACGGGAAGGGACTCATTCGGCTTAGCCTCGTGGTTGTGCTATAGTGCGACGGAGGTGGTGTAGTGGCAGACGGCACTTTTACTACACGCGTTGTCCATTCATCAGCCCCCGGCTCGACTCCTGCACAAACCACTCAAGCCTTCAGCTTTCGGAGGCGGTAAATACATAGGTAGGAGATTCATCTGATAGGACAAAACCACTGCAACGGCTGGCCCCACAAGTCCGTGTATCGCCATCGCATTCAATAAAGCACCACGATTCTGAATAAAGGTAGGGCGCGTGCCGTAGCTCAATAGGGGTTCCTCATCGGCGAAGATTACCCTTTACGACTCAACCTCTGGGCATTTGCCGCATTGGGACTCCCCGGGGCTTGAAAAACGTAGGATTAGTTGATTGAATGTCATTGAAATGTCATTGCCATCCTGAGAAGTGCGAGAGGTCAAATTGCAGGTACTACTGCTGCGAGAGCGGGTCGATAAAACTGACTGGTGCCCGAAATGCAAGAAGAAAGATCAAAAGGGGCCGTTTTTGATTTCTCTTGAAGGATGGTTAGTTCTCTTTTATTTCATTTCATTTGAATATCTGCAGGATTCTAGCATTGTTCAGAATTGCTTTTGTGTTATTGGAGAGTTTGAATGTTGTGATCTATTGTTTTCATTGTCATTGAATTCCAGTGCCCTGTACTTGGAATGCTGTGATGATTTGTGTACAACTAAATGGTATTCGGCAATTCAAGAGGCGCTTGCAATGGAACCAACAGTGCTTGAAGATTTCCGGTTAACAGCAGATAATATACCCATTGTTAGTTGTTTGCTGAAGTTCAGAATTACATGGTCTTAGTGTAAGTAAGTCTTACTGTGATCCCCAGCGAGGAGTTTATATTTACCTCTCAAGAAAAGATTTGCGCTTGTTGACTTTTTCGGTTTTTGCTGATTCAAGCTATGTACTTTCCCTCCCCCTCCTGCTCGGCGGCAGCTTTCTTGGAAAAAAGTGGAAAGTTTGAAAATGGTTAAAAGTTGCTGGAGTTAGGGGAACTGTAGGAAGATGATGGGTGGAATGAGGAAAGGGGGGTAGGGGAAGTTCTCAGAGGAGAAAGTTTTTTTGGAGGGTAAGGGGCTCACATTATGCTAAAATTTTCTTGAATGGTAGGACGTGCTCTCACGGTAAATATGTAGCTAAAATGTAGTGACTTTATTATTTTATGACATACTGTACTACTTAAGCTGGTCGACAAATGCATTCGATTTGTTGCTGCGTATGGTATTCGATCCGAAGGCATTTACCGAAGAAATGGAAAAATTTCTGAAGCCAAGGATATTTACAAGAAGCTCACGGAAGGTACTCTTTTTGATCTATCACCCTATTCTACTTAGGTAATCGATAACCATAAAAATCATTTTCTTTTTTTGCAAGGCAGCGTTCAGACTTCGCGATGTCGCGCGACGACGCGCTACCATTGCAAACGCGCTCCAGTGCAATAGAAGGGTACGCAGCCATAGACGGGTATTGGTAGGCGGCTTCTTTGAGGGAGTAAGGAGGGGTTGGAGGAATCGCGTTGCCTTATAACACAGTCTGGTTGAGATCAGAGCAGCCGCTAGTGTTTTTGGAGAGTATAGAAGAGTTGAAGGATACCAGACTGTGTGATCGGGCAGCGCGCTCCCTCCTAATATTCCATGTTTTCTCAGAACAGTAGCGATCAGCGCCGATTGACGTCCATCTATGGCTGCCTCCCCGTCTATAGCGCGCCATCGCAAAGTCTGAACGTTGCATAATCTTGTAAATTGATCGATTTTTTCATTTTCACTTATAGATCCTGTCAAAACGCACATTGCCTCATCTGGTGAAGAGACCGTCTATGCGGTCGCTGATGTACTACGGCAGTTTTTCCGGCGGCTGAAATCGCCACTGTTCCCGCCTACGCTTCACAAACAAATTTTCAACTTGGGTACTTTGTTCTTGATGTTGTCTAAAGCTTTGTTTCATCTAAGCGAATTTCTGCCACTCCTTGGGGTTCTAAATGCTGTTCGGCGCGGTAATCTCCACTTCTGAGCGGTAACCAGTTTTCAGGGTCTGTCAGTGAAAAAGCATTAGGAACAGATGAATGTAATGGTAAGTCAGAGGTGTGAAAAAAGTAACGAGCAGGGTTTTTAGTTTCAGTTACTAGTGAACTAGACTAGTCCTTCGTGTAACAAAAACACTTTTATCGAGCAATGTCTAGCAGTTCTCATCAGTTGCTGTTCATCTCTCTGCATGTGCTATTGACGGACGGGAAGGAGGAGGGGAGGGGATGTAGATTGAAGCGGAGTTGAAACGGTTTTTTCCACCGGTTGTTGCCTCAGTGCAAATGGCTGCCATTACTGTGCTCCCATCCGTGCCCATTAACACGCCCTCTCGTTTGCTGGATAACGGCTGATTATGACCGTTTAGAATTGAATCGCATTGCTACTGCGCATGGCTTGAATCGGATTGCTCACATTCAGCTATATAAGACTGCCTTCAGACTTCGCGACGACGCGCTGTAACGGCCATAGTTGCAGCAGCCCTCCGAGGCTCTGGACGGGAATACAACCGCAGGCGGGAATCAACATAAGCGTCCAGCTGCGATCGATTTCTGTCCGTCTATTGAACCGGCGGTTTCAATTGTAGCTCGTCGACGCGCGTTACTGCGCGCCATCGCGAAGTCTGAACGCTGCCTAAGGAAAACTAAACAGCATTGTGAATGTGAAAGGATTCCATGATTCTTTTTTATTTAGTTGAAACCCGCACGACAGCTGACAATGCGATCCGCTATCAAGAATATCGCCATATTCTGCAACAAATGCCATTGGTCCATTACCACACGCTGAGGAAACTAATTGCGCACCTTAGTGAAGTAGTTAAATACCAGGATGTGAATAAAGCTAAGTGTGGAGAACGTCGCAAAGGTTTGTTTATGGCGTTTTCAAGTATTTTCCTCGCTACATCCACTATATTCCTTTTCCGTCATCACTGACCCTTCTTTTTGTTTGAAGTCTACCTTAACTTCATCAATTTTCTGACTACAAAGTATTCCTGTAGGTGTTTGGACCGTCACTTTTCGAGATAAATGGTGATGAAAGCAAGCATTATGAGGATACAGCTGGACAGATTGGTGCAATAATCGACTTGATAAATGGATATGATGTGATTTTTGAGGTCAGTTCTAGTGGAAGCTGGTAGCATATTTTTACTTCTGTAAAAAAATTTTACCACCTGTTTGAAGGTTACAAGTCGTGAAGAAATCTGTCGTGCTATGGTTGAGCAGGCGCAGAAGAACAAGGCCACGAATCCGAATGTAGTAAGTTACTTATAAAAGTTTATGTTGAATCGGAGTATATAAAAGATGGTGGTTATTAAGGCTCGTGCCGATGGACTTCTGGTTCCAATTCACGTATGGGAACGAGAAAATAGACCGTTCAATGTAAAAATAGATCTTGCTGCTGAGGAAGTGTGCCGCAAAGCGGTTGCTCGTAGAGGATTCGATGCACCACAGGATGGAAACTATGCCATTTTTGAGGTAATATTTCTTCGGACTGAAGGGGTTCGATACCTGGGGGCTCTCTACAAACTCCGCCAGCGATGTCTTCGATACCAAGATCCCGCGGCGAAGCAAGCACTCGTGGTAGAAAACAAAAACAGAAAACAAAAAAAACATGCAAAAGTGAGAAAACGCGGTAAAAAACTGCAGAAGTGAGAAAACGCGGACAAGTATCGCGTTTTGCTATGATTTTGCTTGTGGGCGGTCGTGCGGCAGCGCGCGGACTGAGTATGGGAGCACAGTCCGCGCGCTGCCGCACGATCTGCTGCGCTATCCTTCAGCTCCAGGCTCGTGCACTTAGATCGGGGAAATACGCCTACTGCAGCGGACCCGTCGCCTCGCACACTGCAAGCAGCAGGAACCATACAGTTGTACGTACAGTGCGTCTCTGAGTTCGGCCTAATGCGACATCTTGTTAATACTGAAAGTTCCAGCTACAACTTTTGGTATCAGTTTAGGTTATTCTCGGTGGAACTTTGTCACGTCGACTGCTTCCTTTTGAAAAATTGTCCGTCTCCGTGCTTGATCACTGGATACCATGGCAGTGCACCGATGGGTACCTTCTGTTCGACCATGACAACTGGCCTTATGATGTCAATGAAGTTGTGAGTTCTGTGTATGCTCCGGCCTTCTCAATTCATGACAGATGTCTAACAGATTGATTTGGGTGCTAATCAGCACAGGTCCATAGCCGAGTACGTCAATACGTCATAACCACACTGCGCCTTAGGGCAAGTCATGCTCCATTAAATTCCCCCCCCCCCCCCCCCCCCCCTCATTCCACTGACCCGGAAATCACGTCTTTCGACATTTTTCACGCCATTTGCTCATTTTTTTTCCAAAGGTGAATGGTATTATTGCTGGGTAGTGAGAATGCTTGCCATAGCTTAGCAATTAGTGTGCTCTGGTCTGGGAGGAGGATTCATTACTCAATGCAATTGGGAGTGTTCGCTTTGTAAAATTGGTTCACCAACAGTGGAATTCTTTCCCGACTCCACGTCAGCAAGTTATCATAGGAATTTTCGGAGGTCACGCGAAGTCGTGGCAAGTGCGAACGTAATGTTTTGCACTGTGGTCCATTACTGGAGCAGCTCCTATCGTCCTTTATATTTTGCACATGAAAGCAAACAATTTCAGGATTTCTATTCCGGTAAAGTCAAAATAGCAGAGCCTGGATCGAAGACGTTTCATTCATATGAAGTCTCTGTGGAGGATGGTGTGAAGGTATGGTTTTTTATGTGAAGGTTAGGTGTAGTTCAATTCAAGCGGTGAAGAGAGCTGGCAGCAGGGCCATAAGGCTGTGTACATACTTTGCGAGGGGAGACTGGGGAACGAAATTTGACGAATTGGCTGTGGGAGAATGCGCATTCTGCCAATATGGTGACTACCGGCACCGATCGATACCCATCCACTACATTGGCGCAGATTCCCCAACATCAGTTCGCCTATTCTCCAGTCATGAAGTGTCAGAACCTTTCAAGCGAGGTCATTCGCACTAGGTCCAAACTGTTCCAACTTGGCAATGGTGCAGCTCGTCAAGTTAACTGGCTTCTAATTATCAGCTAGTAGCTAGTTTGCGCGCGATGTCGCGTCTTGGATGTTACGTACTGTGCCCGAAGGTTCCACTGGCAGTGTCTGAAGTAACTGCCATGGAGACCGGAAGAGCGGAATATGCCCTGTATACTTAATTCGCGCGAGGGCGCCAAACTCATCCCGCTTGACACGCCCCTGCGTCCGCAGCGAACTAGCCTGCACACTGTATTCTGACGGACACTTTTCAGATTGTTGCTTACAAGCACGAGAAGTTGTGGAAGGAATGGATGGTAGCGGACACTGTCTTTTATTCCGGTTCTAGCCCAAACAGAAGAAGGTACGCGTAACAGCTTCTCGTCTTGAAACAGATTTTCTTCTCATTTTTTTTTCATTTTTTTTTACCAAATGCTGATTTAGGCACCTAATGCACATAATGTGACTATACTTGACAAGAAAACAGCGTGTATGACAGACAAACTGGTTGGATACTGTATTTCATTTCGTCTGATGCCAGAAAGAACTCGTTTTTTGAATATGATTGAGTTTATTGAGACTCGTGGCCAGCCACCTCCTCTTGTACATTTGTAAGATACCTATATGCAATTGCTCAGTGACTAGCCTTCCATGATTTGAGTATATCGTCGATGTTTTATATCATTCTTTTCTTATTGAATGCTCATAATTTTTCAGCGTAATCGGTTCCATAAGATTAACCATTACCCAGTGAGATTAGTAATTATGGTTCTAGAATTATGGTTCCTTGAATGATTCGGGTAAGAGTGTTTCTCGTTGTACCCTGTTTAGTTTTCCGCGTTCCGAGAAACGATAACTGCCTAGTTATTGGTGCGCAAAGCGTTCGCTTATGAACCGCTCTTGAAACCTAAAAATGTAACTCCTATTTGGTCAGAAATGTGAAGAATTATGTGATGTATTTACAAAGTACCTAATGTTAATTAAACCTCACTTTGTTTATTCGTACAGAGAAATTCTTTCCCAGTATCTTCTTTGTTACGCCTTTTCAAGCATTTTTTGTGCATATATGGCTATATCTTATGGTGCATTTGTTATCATTCCCAAAAGCCTCATTTTAGTTGTTTTTCATGAATGCATATAGTGTTACGGAGAGATGAAGAGCTTATTATATTAGTGTTTTTAGCGAATACACTGTAACTGGTTCTGAATGACCTTGGTACCTTGGTTGGTTCTTGTGGCTTTTGTCATTTGCTGGGGTTTTGAGGGGGTGCAGCATAGAGCAGAGTCTGGCACTTTTTTCAAGTACTTTTACCAAGCAGTGGTGGTGCAGTGGCAAGTGGCATGCTCGCGACGCGCGCGGTGCAGAGGTCAAATTTCGAATCTGCTTCCGCTCTGGCCAACTAAGCCCTTCACCAGCAGAGACGGTAAAATGGTACCAGATTGTATGGCAGGACAAGAACACTGACTTCTGCACGGGCTGACCCCGCAAATCACTACACTGGCCTCACCGCAATCCTAAGCCACTACGATTCTGAATGGAATTAAGCATCCCAAGAGGGACTGATCAGTGGCGAAGTTATCCTATTACTTTATTACTTCACGGAACCGGGACATTTAGATGCCATTTCAAGTAATAGTTATGGGTCAAGCGAAAGGCTCTGTTATGATACTTTCGCCTCAATACAATTTTCGGGATTTCTCGTTCATTTGTGGCACTTACCCGCATTTGTCACTTCCGCAAAATGCAGTTAGTCTGTCTTCTGTATGAGTTCCATAGGGGCGTCAAGTATCATTCCTTTTCCTAAATTTTGTCCATTTATCAGTTCCCTACGTCGGTAGCCGCCGCGGTCCTCTTTTCTAACGTATGCAACGCTTCCTGCACGTGTGCTCACCTTCAGGTTCAAAACTACTGCTTAATAGGCTGGCTGATAACGTACAAATTAGTTGTGTGGTGTAGAGGTAAAAGAATGTTATTACGGTAACACCATTTCTGCTGACTGAGGACGTATTCCCTAGGGGATTGCCGGTTTCATTGGCGGTCGAACTTTTTACCCTTATGAACAAACAAACAAGCACGCCCTTCTTCTCTGTGTTCCTTCCTGATAGTCACTTGCTACAGGTGGATGTACCTTGCATACAGTAGGGGCGTTTGTGGAGCTCAATTTAAACTTGCATATTTGATCTCGGCTACGTCTCGTCCTGAAGGAGCAGAGATAGAACCGACATTTCGGAGAAGTGCAGTCATGTCGCGGGCGGACAGTGAAAATAAAACACCCAATGACGCAACTAGTTTTTATGTACCATCGCACTTTTTTTTC